TTTGCGCCGTGCCGAGTTTGCTCTCCCTGAGCTGGGGCAGCCCACAACCAGCTCCTGGCCGACTCAGCCTCCCAGGAACCATGTCAATACTACCTGCAGCATGCTCTGAATGCAGATACAAAACAAGCATCTGATTTTTACAGTAAAATATCTATTTACATAGTCCTGTCTAAGAAAATTAAACCTGAAACCTGCTAACATTTCCATTAGTCTAAACCCAAAACTATTTATAAACTACAACCTGCACTTGCTATGCTCTCAGACAGTGCCATACCTCCCACAAAACTGCCAGCTGACCTTGAAAGGTGTCCTTTTAATTGAGTTCTGGATTAAAAGGGTCGTTCCCAATTCTAACAAAATATTAAAATAGAATAAGAGAATTCAGTTTTAGAATAGTAACCCAAAACATCTCCAGGCAAATTCTGATACTCACGACATGAGAAGACCAGAAGTAACTCCTCTCCCACTGCCCAAACAGAGAGAAATGTTAAAATGCAAAAGTAATATATTCAAAGTTAAAAAGTGAATCCAAGACAGAAATTCAGGGAAAGTCATCTCTGGAGTTCCCACAGACAAATGGAAACCAGGAAGTCTGAAGTGGAGGTCATTGCAGAAAGATATGTCAAATGGGGTTTTCGAGGGATTTCAAACACTCATTTTCTGCACTGTTCTGATACAAAGTGATGGCGACTGCACAAAACAGGAACCAACAGTCAGTGTTTGCCCAAACCACCTCAGACTGAAACTGAGTTTTGGGATGTGGACACTGACCATCTCCAGTTGAGTCAGTTCACACCTGCCCTGCAGAGAGCCACGAGCAGCTTACAGCTGCCTAAACCACAGTTCCCATATCAGTGTTAATTACACATCGACAATAATACAACCTGTACAACTCTTTTACCTACTGGTATTAAGCCGGAACTTTGTCTAAGCTTCCTAATTCTTTTACCATATTTTTTCAAAAAGAAACACATTTCAAAATAAACACCGCCTTAGAGAGATTATTTGCATAGGAAAGTAGTTGCTGAATGCCTGAAAAGCCTTTCAAGCACTACCCCCACTAATCTGAATGGCTCATCACCTTTTTCCCTCTGACTGAGGGCACACAGTCAAAAACTGAGCCCAGATCCCCTAATTTCTGAGCTTCTCCTGCTGCTGAGCCTCACTTGAGGAAACTGCTGGCACTCTGTACCTGCAAGTACCAAATCTCCCCAGTATCCACAAAGACACTTCTCTGGGAATACTAAACTCTGTTCAGTCAGAACATAAGCAGGTAGCTGATAGCAGGGAGCATCAGTGCCCTGTGAATCCTCTCCCTCCTCCCACGGATGGAGCTGTGGTGGAGCCTCATTAGGGAGAGTGAAAGGCTTGATAAAATGCTTGGTCTTTAATCAGAGAACACAAACCCCTGACTGACGTTAGCTATCACAGATTTACTGATGCTCATTTTCACTAGCTGTGGGACCCATTTTAAAAACCAAAGAGAGCTGAACACACTGCAGAGCTGCTGAGGGTCCCCCCAGCTGTGCCAGCCAGGCCTGGAGTGGCTGCTCTGCTCCTTCAGACGCTTCCAGGCTGGAGCTGGTGCGGGTGAGTGGTGTTCTCCCAGTGCCCTGTGGCAGGCTCTGACAGAGGATGGAGTTAAATGGGGCTGCTGTGGCATATGCACTGAAGACCAGTTTCTTTTTTCCTTTTAAATAATCCACTTCTCCAGACAAGTAATGATGACCTGCAGCATCCAGCTGAGAAGCAATTCCTCTGCTCTCTCCCCCAGAGCTGCAGCAATCTCACCCTGCCCCTCACCTCCTTGCCTTGCCTTCTGAGCTTTGTGTCACTCACCAGCAATTTCACTTCAAGGGGCACCACAGAACTAACAATCCCAGTTCTGAAGATCAGAACTGTCAGACCTGCAGTGCAAAGAACAGGAACAAGGATGGAAGAAAGAGAATAGCCTGTCTGAAAACCTGGTGTTTACAGCAGCCAAAAAAAGATGCTGAAAGTGCTGCTTTGTGTTTGTGTACAGTACCTACTTTGATACAGTGAAATAATTATTTATAGCAATATGCTATCAGGTCACATATCCCCGGGAGAAACTAGCAAAGCAGGAAAATCTCCTAGGAGCTAATTGAGAGAACAGCTAGAAAGGCAACTTTACTTACTGCTGCTCTCAGAAGAACACGTTTCAATTCCCCCTCTGCTTTGCGAGGACACCCCAGCCCGGGTGAATCCTGCAGCAAAGGGACCAGCAGGCAGGCAGCTATCCATCACTCAGCAGAGGCACCACAATGTGCTTTCAGGCCACTACTGAAGGCTACAAAGGTTTCACTCATTAAACACCAGCTGCAGCTGAGGATAGAAATAAGAGACCGAGACTGAAACCAAAAATAGCTTAGCAAAAAAAGTATATATAGGTATGGGGCAAAAAATAAGCTAACAGATGTGGTTTGGAAGTGGGAATATCAAGGGAGACAGTCCAGCTTTACCCAGGACATTAGGAAGGATGTGACTCCAGGCAAGAAACCCCAGTGGTTTAGGTCCTTCGCTGAACTGGACAAGCCACAGCAAAAAGTGACTCTTACACTATTGATCCAAGTGAAACACTGACAGCAGCTCCAGGTCTGTGTGTTCCCACTGGCTTGGTCAGTGTCAGAGGACACTGCCTGGCTGTGTGTCTGGGGACAGAGGGGCACGTCCTGCTCCCCAGCCCAGTGAGGTGACAGCACTCACCTGTGTCCCCACACTCACCTCACCTCCCCATCCTTCAATGGACAAGTTAAGAACGTGCTCATCCAGGAGATGTGCTGGTGGGGTGAGCTGCCGTGGGCAGAGGGGTCCTGCTCCCACCCTCCTGCAGCACTGCAGATGGGCAGCGGCTGCACTGAGCCATCCCACAGCCCTCAGATTTTTGCTGATTACACATAATATACATATATATGTCTTGCTATATTTAAGAACAACATAAAAAGTTTAAAAACTAGTCAGACATAAAACATCAAGAAAAAAAGAGTTTCCAAAACCTGCAGCTCCTATTTGCACTGCAGGCTGATCAGGCCAGAAATAACCCAATTTTAGAGAGGAATGGGACTGCAGAAGGGATTAATGACACAATCCAGACCCCTAGTTAAAATGTTTTCAAAGACAAGCCTTATCTCCAAGAATCCTTGCAGGCATTCAGCCGTTCCAATTACGCATTACAGGCCTCTGGCAACTCTCTGCCATGGCCATGGCAAATTTTCAAGGTGGAGACTACACCAACAGTGACTTTTCCTCCCCCTGAATCCAGGTCAAGGCATACGCATTGTTCTGTAGTTTCAGCTGGTAGAAAAACAAGTTTGTGACTGCCCCGTGCAATTATTACACAGGAGCAAGATAATGAAAGAATGTTCTCGGGGCGGTGTGGGAAACTGCTGGTGGAGCTTGTGCTAGGAGGGAAGTGAACCTTCCTCACAGTCACAGACAATACCTACAAATGTACACCAGCACTTACCAGTAGGAGGAGGACTTAACAGGATTACTCTGCAAGTTTTTCTTATTAGTCAGTGAACCTTCTTCCTCAGTTGCTTGACTCTAACCTCACAGGCTCCTCCAGAGAGCCTCGCCCTGAGCTACGGGACTGGCCTGGTCCCACACGCATTGCAGCTGCTCACCCAGGCATGTTTGGGACACCACTTTGAAACAAATAATGCAGCTCAGACTCAAGGGCACGTGATACCAACACACACTGTTTCAGTGCTTGGTATCTCACCAGTCACATCTTGGCATAGTTCAAAATATACTTGAGCATGGGAAGATATTAAAAATACTTCAGAAAAGTTCACAAACCAAAGATTCCCACGACTGAAGTGGAAGGGCAGGAAGAGGGTGTGCAGTTATCAACCCTCTTATCTGGGAAACGCTTGATTGGGTACATGAAATCTGCACACAGGAACAGGCCACAGGAGCCAGTATCTGTGTTCTCTGCAGAACCACTGACAGGCACTGAGTCCCACCCTGGCAAAACTGACCCACAGCACCTAATGGGCTGCTGGGCAGCAGAGGGGAGAGGTGAGGAAAGCAAGCATGAAGTCACCAAGCAAATAAAATAATGTCTATATGCACATTTAAGCAGAGATTTATTACTGAAGGAAGAAAGGCAATGTGCACACAGAGACTGAGCTCTCAAGCAAGGTAAAGCAGCTGCTCTAACAGTTTACTACCACAGAGACTCCAGCAGCAGTGAGACAGGACAAAGACAACGTCCCAGCTCCGCAGTGACCCTGCTGCTGACAGCAGAACCTTCTCTGAGCACAGACCACACGGTCCATCCATCTCCCACTCTGGTTCCCGACCTGACAGCGTTCACCAGCACATCCCAAACACATTTAAAGGCTCTGTGACAATTCTCATGGAAGCTAGATGGCTCTGCCCCGATCCAGAGCCACAGGCCGGTTGGCAGCGCCGACCGATCGCAGGGTGGCTGTGAACAGCCTGCTGGCAGCGCCGAGCCCAGACAAAGGGAGGACAGACACACAGCTTGCTGGGAACAATGGCAGCCTAAGCATATGTCAGATGGGATCAGTCACACTGCCCCTGCCCAGCCAACAAGGAGAGGCAGAGGTGGGGTCGATCTTTCCGAGGGCTCTTAGATAACACACAAAGCGTTTCTCGGCCTGGCCGTGGGCGCAGAGAGCCCGCTCAGAGCGGAGTCTCCCCACCTGAGGCCCCTGACTGCTCACTTTCACAGAGCCTTTTCTCCCCGTGTGCCAGGCCCGAGGCTGCACCGTGTGGCCAGCCAGCCGGGGCACAGAGCAGCTGAGTGAGCAACAGCATCAGGAGAGAGGGAGGTCTTGTTCTGGTTGGAGTTCTCACAACAAGGGAGTTTTAGCATATACACTCATGCAATTAGCATGGCATTATAATGGGTTTTACCCTCTGGCTGTACCTGCATTGTCTGAGGGAAGCAAGAGCTGATACCATCACCTTTAAGGGAGATATTCATAGTCACCTCGGCTATAATTTTTAAAGGAAGAGCCACCCACAGATATGTCATGAGAAGGAGGAAAACATTACAGCAGAGGTGCCCAGTCCTCCTCACTTCACTGCCATGGCCAGAGCTCTCTGTAAGGCTGCGTTAAACTTGGAGCACGAGGTCCAAGCCCAGCGAGGAAGAATGAAAACGGAAACGGAGAGATCAGCCACAGCATCACTGATGCTGCAGGAGAAGCACATCAGATCCGAGGATGACTGGAGTGAGGAACAGCACTGGCAAAGGTGGATGCTGCACCCACCCAGGGACACAGCTTTGGGGTGAATTCCATTGTTTCCTATCTCACCTGCAAGCTGCATTAAACATCTGCTCCCCCAGCAGCTCAGCGGGGCTGGAGACACACGGAACACAAACTCTGACACGCACCAAGTGCAACCTCCTACTCACACCAGCAGTTTGGGACTTCAACACTTCCAAGCCAGCAAATAACTCCCTACAAAGAGCCCCAGGCAGCTGCACCACAGAAGTCTGAAAGAACGTACTGAGGCAGAGTTGGTCCCGACAGCAGAATTTTTAGCACACAAGCACGGAAAAATAAGGTTTCATCGTTAAAAGACATTATCAAAAAGAACAGCTGTTATTTTTCGAGCTATTTAAGAACTGGATGTGCTGTTAATGATTTTCAGGTCACTACAGCTCTGCAGCAGCCTCCAGCTGGCAATACTTCAAAGATCCTAAAATGAAATATTAACAGTAGGTAAAAAAAAAAAATCTTTATTTTGAGAGATATGATGTGAAAGCAAAGTGAAAAAGATAGCGGAGGTGATAGTACTGAGCAAAACTTTGATTTCACTTCAATTTAACTCTGAGACACAGATGGCCAAGTCCAGTCAGTGTAAAGGCAACAGGGAACTACACAGAGTGCAGGGACAGAGGGAAGAGCTCAACACATCCCACAGTACTCGTCATTCAGCATTTCTCATTCACCGACAGCAGTTGCTGAGTTCTATACGAGTGGAAAAAGGATGAAAGAGGGAGTTTACCTGTGTCTGGGGCACATTTGGCCACGCCACAAGGTAATACAGGTGTGTATGGGAAATAAGCACAGCTGGTTGGGAACTCCCATGGCCCTGTGGGCACTGTGGGTGGAGCAGGAGGAACCCACATTTTCCACCCAGTTGTCCAGCTTGTTTCACCTTCCTGAAGTGCCAAGTGTCCCACCAGCCTGCAGGGCAGACCCTCACTCACCCAGCTGGGACAGCTCTCCCCCATTTCACCCACCTCTGGGGATGAGCTGCAGGAGCTTGGTGTGCTCACCCACACAGCAGAGCACCTGATACTAGAAGTCACTGGCAGACTGATATGGAGGATGTGGGAAGATGTTCACAGACAAAACTACAAACCTCTTACACTTTCATACATCTGGAAGGTATCAAAATATATTCCACCTGCTAAGTATTTTCTTAACATTCAGGCAAGTACAGCAGGCTTTGCAGGCAGGAATTAGCATCTGAACAGTGCTTTGTGTGTGTTGTGAAGACACTGAACAGAAAATAAGTTACTTAAGAAGATTACAAAAAAAGACAATTTAATTAACTTACTGCCAATGTGCATTCTCAGCATTTCATTAAGTTTTCTCAACATACTCAGTGGAATAAAGCAATCAGAAAATACCCAAAGGCACTCCAAAACCCCTGGAAGTTACTCCCAATAGCCAAGTTGTTCCCACGCACGTCCTCAAGAGTTGGTCTTTTCAGAGGCACAGGATCTGTTCAGGGGAAGGACTGAGAGGCTGCCAGGTAGGAGAATCCAGATGACCCTGAAGAAAACACCCAGAT